TTCTCCTCCAGACTGTTCATCCAGCCTATTTTATCTAAATAGATCTGCAGAGATAATATGCACCAATAAACAAGGCATAGCAAGACAAAGCGACAAAAGAGAACACAATGATGACAATAAAGAAAACCAATGACCCAGAGAAGAATAAGTTAATTTTAAGAAAAAGAAAAGAAAAACTTAAAAATTTTAGAAAAGAAAGAAAAACCTGTAAATAGATCAAGGTCTGATTTTTGACCTCTACATGTGTCCTCCATTCAAGTCCGATGGGGTGCCACGCTCTGGCCCCAAAGTCTATCCTTTGCACTCTCTCTTGGGAGCTCCCTGCTCTGCTCCCCCCGTTGCTCTGCCTCACGCCTTGAGTGTAATTGTATTTTCTTTATAACTGTTCATTGCCACTTTGGAAAGATGGATAAAATTAACCAGTTCTTTCCATTTCTATTCTTTAGTTTATTTAAGGTGGGGCTCATGTATACTAAAATTCATTGCCATCAAGTCAATTCTGATGCATAACAACCCTGTAGGATAGGGTAGAACCATCCTAGTGTTCCAAGACTGTAACTCATTACAGGAGTAGAAAGTCTCATCTTTATTCTGAGGAGTAGCTGGTGGTTTTGATCTGCTGACCTTGGGGTTAGCAACTTAATGCATAACCACTAATACTAGAGTTCCTGGGAAATATATAGAGAACTATATATAGTTCAAAGGTGGCCTAGTGGCACAGAGATTAACCACTGGGCTGCTAACTGAAAGGTCAGCAGGTCAAACCCACCAGGCAGTTCTACTCTGCCTTATAAGGTCACTATGTTCAGAATTTACTCAACGGCAACAGGTATGGAAAATGTACATTTTGTGATCACAGAGCTAGCATTTTAAATTATTTTCCAGTACTCTTCATCTCAGCCCTCTTACTCTACAACTCAATGTATAAGTCTGCATGTTATTCATTTTTTCAGGATTGGAAGCTGTTAAAGGCCAGGTCTATACTTACCTACATGAGATTGAGAAGCTCACTGGCATGTTGGCAATGACAACACGTTAAATAATAAATAATCCCTTGTATAGCAACAAATGCCTAAGATTCAGATGATTAACTGTGGTAACCTACAAAGGGTCATACAAGATTGTGCTATTGCTGGAATCATAAGCTTAATGTAGTCTGTCTAAAAGAAAATAATAAAAAAGTAAAGCTTTAAAGTTATGAAATGAGAAACAATATATCCCAGATGAGAGAGCTTATAGGTTCATCCTATAAACTTAAATCCAAATTAAATTTAATCACAGTTTTATTGGTATGTAATTCATATAACATACAATTCAATAGTTCGATCACATCAAGAAGAGTTGTACAATCATCATCACAATCAGTTTTAGAATATTTTCTTTATTCTTGTACTTATCATTAATAGTTCCCCATTTCCTCACAACCTCCTCTGCCCAAGGGACCATTCATCCAGTTACTGTATCTATAGATTTACCTATCTTGGATTTCAAATAAAGAAAAAAATTAAAAACAAACAGTATCAACAACAAAAACAAGAACAACAAAGTAAAACAGAATCACACTTTTATTCTCTTTCACAAATTAGAAGATTTCGAACAAAAATACTCCAGATACATTTCAGAATATTTTTGTATTGAATTTATTTTTCACCTTTTAATAAAAAGGCACATAACAAAGGTCAGTTAGGGTTTGGATTTTGCTCCTGCTTCTGCCCATTTCATCAAGAGGAAAGTGTAGCGAAACTTGCGGGAACCAGAACTCAATACCACTGCTTTGCTCTTTGGGGTTTTGCAAATTTCCCATCTTTGAGAGGGTGCAGTCGCCACCTGGCATCCTAGTGGGGAAAAAATGGAACTTTCCTTCTCTGACAGGTTTCCACCTTTTACAAGGTTCTTTTCACATGTTCTATTGTATTTTCAACTAAGTCTTGCATCATATTAACATAGAACTTTGCAAGTATGTGCAAAAAATTGTAACAAAAATCAGCTGCAGAAAAATATTGATGTGTGCTGTCAGGTCAATTAGAACTGATAGTGACCCTATAGAGCTGAATTATCTCATAGGGTTTCTAAAGCCAAAAACTTTATGAATGGTGACTGCCACATTTTTTTCTCCCATGGAGCAGTGGGGGTAAACTACTAATTGTTCAGTTAGCAGCTAAACACTTTACTCTTCCCCTAGGCCTTCTCACAGAAAAAAAAACTCTGCAAATAACAAAAGGCCTAGAACTAAAGAGCTCAGAGAAATCTATGGTACAAATTAATTTCTGAATAGTAAAACACTATATAAAATGGCATTATGCTAATAAAATTTAACTGACAAAGATCATCTTATGCTAATTTAAATCATTTCAAAAAAGTTTTCAGGGAAGTACAAATTCAGTCTTTTTTTTTATCTTTTTTTTTTTTAAACATTTTATAAGGGCTCATACAACTG